AGAAGTCTATCGGGAATCGAGACTCATGAACATCAAGGAAATAAGTGAAAAAACAACAGCCATATTTGGGTTCTCAGTATTAAATGGCATCTGGACCAGTCAGACAATTTTTGTCAGAAATACACAAATACATACACACCAGACCAGACAGACAAACAGACTGCACCATAGACCCATCACATCCTCAAAATATGGAAGAAATGGAGTTTACTACCAAATCTGCAATGTGTATAACCAGCTTCCAGACGACATTATCAACTGTAATAACATAAATATATTCAAAAAGAAATTGACAAAATGGATTCTTGACAAGAGAGATCTTTAATGTACGCTAATTTGTTTTGTAAAACTGTGCTTTCTAAAAAAACAAAACAAAAAAAAACACCATCATCCACCCCTGTAACTGTGATGTAGCGTCCCCCTCATGGAGCTGTGCTCTTAAGGGACAGATTTCTTAAGACAATAAAAAAAAAAAAAAAACTCAGTAGTTAAATTTCAACTTACAAAGGGATAGGATTTCAAGGGATAGTCGAGGCGACTATTTTTCCGGCGCCCTAAATGTTATAGGTAGATAACGAGGGCTTCACTGAGTAGGTGCAAATCTAAGAGTCGCGGCGCGTGCAGCAGAGGCGATGGTGGCGGAAGTGCAATTTAGCAATGCACCCCTTCCCCCGTCGCGCCTGCCGCTCGGCGGCCGCGGCGAGCGCGTCCGCGGGGCAGAGAAGCCCTCGGGGCACTGGAGGACGGGCAGTCGCGTTTAGGCAGCGGTGAGTGTGGAGTGCAGTTTGTGCTGGTCAAAAGTTGTGAAATAGACCCAAGGACTAGACTAACCCACGTGTACAACATTCTCTGATTGAACCTTTAACTCCGCCACTAAAACAGGCGGTCGCTCCACCCGCTCCGTTCGGCACTTTTTGGCGTGGCGAGCGTAGCTCAGCATACGCTTCGGCTAGCGCCGACCCCGCCGGACCCGCTCACAGGTGACTTCAGCATCGGCAGTGTTCGGATGTCCGGCCGGTGACTGCAGCCGCCACGCCAAGCCACAGCACCGCAGCACCGCCCGTGTACTGTCGCTCTCTCTCTCTCTCTCTCTCTCTCTCTCTCTCTCTCGCACACCTCAGCCAGCGGGTAGAGGCCGCCCGCCCGTTTGAGAACTCTGACTTGACTCATGACTCTGACAAGGTAAATGAAGCCCTTTTTTTTGGTACAGCTCAACAAAGCATCGTAAATAGATATTCTGATGTTCAACGTTCAACATTCAACATCAGACATTTAAAAATGCTGTTTGCTTTCAGATTCCAAAATGGATCTCAACGAGCCTGACTGTCCTTGTTTCTGTTGTGAGGGCAGAAACTCTTGCGACTGCAACTGTTGCTGCAGTAGGAGGGAGTCGACAGAAAATAATAACGAAATATGTCACTGTGACTGCAACTGTTGTGTCGAGTCGAGAGAGAACAATTGTTTTTGTACTTGTTGCGTGAGGTATCTGATAATGGTCCTCTGTGAGATATGCTTTCAAAACACGTTTGAAGAATAAATGTATGTTTTCTAGTTAATTAATCGATGTGCTAGTCCTTGTTTTATTTTTGTTTGTGCACGTTTATACATTTATTTAAAGTTTGTATAATTAATGATAATGATTAATAATAAAATGAAATCCAAACCTTGAACCTAGTTGCTTCTAAATACCTCACGTCGGCCAGCTCTGGATAGCGTAGAAAGGGTGTACAAAGCGTAAATGTAAAGGATTCAGCTTTAAGATGCACTTCATGAGGTGCGCGCGGCGCGGCGCGCAGTGGTGCAGTGCTCTGGAGTGTGCCGGGGGTCCAGTCGTCGTCGCCGACCCCACGGGACGCGCAGGCAGGCGAGGAGGTGTTCTGTTTCTTGCACGATGGACGTGGATGTAGAAGCAGGTGTTTTCGTGGAAGTAAGGGGAACGAAGTGAGCAAGCCGGAAGTAGAATAGAGAGTCTGGATTTCACCCTTCCTTGCAACCGTTTCAAAGTTGGATGCACATTGATCACTTTTGGCTCAAGATGTTTATGGAGCGTTGGGACCCCAGTTCTGCAAATCCTGCTCATTAGTATCTGAGAGGGTGACACATTCATACCTGACAGGGGAGTATTATTGTACTCTCTGAGTGAGTCAAGGTAGTGCGTTCCCTCGTCAGTACACTTTTTAATGAGTTGCTTCGCAATGCGAACGCCTTTTTCAGCGAGCCCATTGCTGCGAGGATATTCAGGTGAGCTGGTCCTAACCTCACTTCCAATACTTTTTGCAAACTCATGGCATTCAGCTGAGTTCAGAGGGTTATTATCTCCAAATATGATTTCAGGGACACCATGAGTTGCAAAAATAGATCTCAGGACACCAATGACTGATTTGCTGCTCTTACTGGTCAATGGTTTAATCTCAAGCCATTTGGATAGATTATCAACCAAAACCAAGTAAGTATGAGTATCCAGTTCCATGATATCTACACTAACTTTCTGAAACCTCAGCTGTGGAATATCATGTGGAATTAGAGGTTCTTTAAAATTCTGTGGACTATGTCTTTCACAGATTCTGCATTCACCAATCAGCGTCTCAATGTCATTGGTAATTCCTGGCCAATATACAGACTGCCTGGCTCGAGATTTAGTTTTATCCATCCCAAGGTGAGCAGCATGTAATCTTTTTAAGACTTTAGGTCTGAGAACGACAGGGACTACTATCCTGTCATTTATTATGACCAATCCGTCTTCTACAAACAAATCATTGCGAATACCCCAGTAGGGCTTGCTTTCCATAGGCACTTTGTTTCTATGCTTAGGCCAGCCCTCCTGGTAGTATTGCATGACTGTGGATAACCCTGTATCTTTGCTTGTCTCTTTCAGGAATAAATCTTTCATGTCAGAGGACATGGGAATATGTTTAATCACTTCATGGACATATTCAACCATTTCGGGATCATCTTCAACTGGGTCATCCAGGAAGTTCCGAAAAAGTAGATCAGCAATATACAAGAGTTTACCAGGTAGGTATTCAACCCGAGGTTGAAACCTAAGTAATTTTAGTCTCATCTTTTTCAGTCTATTATTGGTTATGGTATATATGGGCTTCTTGAAAATTGATACTAATGGCTGATGGTCTGTCTGGAACAACACATCAGGCATTCCCCATATATACTTCTCAAACTTTTCTGCAGCAAAGACCAAGGCCAACATTTCTTTTTCAATCTGTGCATAATTGGTCTCTGTTTCAGTTAGTCTGCGGGACGCCAGCACTACTGGCTGTCTACCTTGTAAAAGGCAGCACCCAAGACCGAATTGACTCGCATCAGCTTGGAGAATAATTGGCCTTTTACAGTCAAAAGTTGCTAGTACAGGAGCCTTTGAGATGCTATCTTTCAGGGCTTGAAATGCCTGGGAATGTACAGGTAACCAGTGAAAAGCTACAGAACTAGACAAGAGTTGGTAGAGAGGAGCAGCAATCTCAGCCATTTGAGGAATGAAATTTCTCAAGTAGTTGAATGTCCCTAGACATTTTTGCAACTGATTTTTACTTTTAGGCTCTGCAATTGCATTAATAGCTCTCACTCTCTGAGGATCAACTCTGATATTATTCTTGGACCACAAATGTCCAAGAAACTTTACCTCTGCCTGTCTGTACTAAATTTTGGAAGGATTAAACCGAATATTTTGCTCTTTAGCTCGTTGCATCACTGCAGCTAGAATTTTGTCATGTTCGGCAAAATCTTTTCCAGCCACGAGACAATCATCAAAATAGAGTATGACATCTGTGTCTTGAAATGCCTGTTCAGCCAGAAACTGGAATATTTCAGGAGCACTTGTCAACCCAAAAGGCATTTTTAGAAATTTGTACAGGCCATGTGGGGTGGAGAAAGTGCAAAGCAGACTAGAATCCTCATCTAGACTGGCATGCCAAAATCCTTCCCGCAAATCAAGCACTGTGAATACCGCTTTGTCGCGCACTCTATATGCCAATTCTTCCTGTGTAGGAATGGCATATGTTTGGCGAACAATGGCAGTATTCAGCACTTGAGGGTCAAGACAGATTCTAAGATCTCCATCACTCTTTTCCCGAATGACAAGGTTGCTGACAAACTTAGGGGATTCAGTGGTGATTTTTGCAACCGCACCCCTCCTTTCCAGTTCGTCAAGCTTATCCTTCAACCGGTTGATGATGGAGAAGTTATATCTCCTTGGGGGACACATTCGAGGCTGTACCGTTGGATCTACCAAAATGGTAACTTTCTGCTTGAACTGTCCAAGGCCCGTAAACTGTTCATTGAATTTATTTAGGAATGACGCTTTGGAATCTGGCAATACAAGGGAATTAATTTCCACTGAATCAATCATAGTTACAGAATGTTCAACTCGTTTAACCAGATCCAGAATTTCACAACCCTCAATACCTAGGATAGCTCTACGCCCTTTTTTAGATATGTAAAATTTAGCAAGCATGTTCCGCCCATATTTGGTTTCAACTTTCAACATCACTGAACCCTCTGGTTGGCAGATGCTCTCATCATAACCTTCCAGTAGAGTTCTAGTTGGAGACAATTCAATATCATTATCACTATTAATGAATTGAAAACTATCCATGGGAAGAACATTTGCTTGGGAGCCACAATCAAGTTTAAAGACCATCCAGTCTTTACCATTGATTCTGAGCTCCTCCAAATACTCTTTATGGCAACCTTTAGTAAGAGAATGAACGTACTTCACCTGTTGTCCATCAGAGTCGTCATCAGAGGAGGTGAACTTCCCGTTGAGCAGAGTGGATTCATCGACGTCCTGCACTGTCAGGGCATTGATCTTCTGCACATGTGGCTTCTCATTATGAGTGGTCTTCTGCCTTTTCCGTGGCAGTTGATCATCTTCATTTTGGCGATGTACCACAGGGAAATGATTTGGTTTCCCACATACTTTACAAGTATGTCCCCAAGCAGGGCAATTCCCAGCCTCATGGACCTGGAGACACTTCCTGCATCTGTACGTGTACAAAGGTTTTTGATTCATTCTATTTTGTTTGAAGGAACCACCACCTTGTTTTCCACGCTGCTGCTGGGGTTTCTCATGGGGTGTCTGCTGGTGTGCTCGTTTTTTAGCACGACCACGCATTGGCCCTGTTTGAACGGAGTCGACAACAGCCACTCTTTCCACTGTACGTGGGTATTTGGCGTTGGACTCTGTAGACTTGCTAATTTCGACCAGCTCATGTAGAGGTAAAGCCGCCTTGGCACGAAGTGTCCTCCGTAGTTCCTTATCGTATGTACCCCAAATTAGTCTATCGTGAATCATTGACTCTTCAATTGAGCCGTACTCACAGTCTTTGCTAAGATTACGGAGGTCGGTTAGCCAGTTGGCTACCGGTTCACCGGCCTTTTGGTTGCGGTGGTTGAAGAGCTCTCTACACCCTATGACACACTTTTTCTCAGTGGCATAGAGGTCGAACTCTCGCAGCACGCTCTCGTAATCTCGACTAAGGTCCTGGTCAACGACGTTGAGTCCAGTAGCCTCATCTTTCTTATAGGTAACCAACCTATCTTTGAAAGAATCGTACACCTCCAGTGCATCGTCACCTGCTTCTCCAAGGAGAAGGGCGAAGCGCACAGTTGAGGTTGCTTTCTCCTGCTGTGTAGCGAGGAGGAAAATCTCAAATTTTTGTTTGAACTTTGACCATGAGGCCTGGATATTTCCAGACCTCAAGTTAACAACTCCAGGTCGACGGACATTAGCCGACGACACATTGGTGGCCATTATATATGGGGTCTTTTTCCAGTAAGGAAGAACTAATACGATGAAACAACCAGGTCACACAACACTTTCTATACTACTTGCCAAAAAAACTTCTTATTCACTAGGTCCTACCGGCTGCGCCATGTTCTGTTTCTTGCACGATGGACGTGGATGTAGAAGCAGGTGTTTTCGTGGAAGTGAAGGGAACGAAGTGAGCAAGCCGGAAGTAGAATAGAGAGTGATTTATTGGTCGTATTGGTGACGAGGAAAGGTGGGGGATGTCACGTGACCCGGGGTCAAGTGACATCACACGCGTAGCGCGTAGTTCGTGCATTCCCCGACAGGGGTGCCAACTGACGTATAGAACAGGAGGGACGCGAGAATTTTGTGACCCCCTTCTGATTCAATTTGATGAACTGAACTGCTTGGCGTCGTTGTGGACCGCGCCGGCGTGCAGCGCAGTGTTCGGACAGAGCGTCGGGCACCTCGCTGTTAGCATCTCGGTTGTCTGCTCAGCCCGCGGAGCGCATCGAGGGGGTAGGAAAGACGAGAAAGGAAGGAGGGATGGACCAAACTGAGCCACTAGTTGGCGTCCGCGCGGCGTGGCGCACAGGTGGGGAGTGCTCCGGGCTGTGACAGGGGCCCAGTCGTCCTCGCCGACCCTGAGGGGCGTGCGCGCAGGCGGGGACGGACTCACCGGCCCAGGCCCTAGATGGGCCGCAGAACGCAGGGGACGTGCACGATTTGCGCGGAGCGACACCGTGATTTGAAATCCCCCCCTCCTTCTGCAGTCAACTTGTTGGGCTTCGCTTTATGCTCGGGCTCCGCGGTGAGCCTGCTCGTCACGTCGTAGGCGTGCCGGTGGTCCGCGGAGACGGAGAGGTGGTGAAGCGCTGCAACGCTCAGTGGAAGTGGTGGAGTGGGGGAAGTCTATGTCACCTGAGAGTCCTGTTATGCGCAGGTCAAAGTTGCCGTCTTCCAGCTACTTTGTAAGTAAATGACACAAGTACTTACTACCCTTCACAGTTGACATTTTCCAGCATGTCGGAACGCTGGCGAGAGAATGCCTCGTCGGAGTCGGAGTCGGGGTCGAGGCCGAGGCCTCCCTCGCAAATGGAGCTAATGCGGCGTGACCTGGCTGTCGTGGTCGGCAGCTTTGAGCGGCTGCGGGCGGAGGTTGCATATCGTATGCCACGGCATTTGGCCATCCAAATGTCGATCGCAGGACCCGCTGGCGCTCG